GCAGTGGCAGCTGCAGAGAGCAAGCCTCTCTCCCTTGCTTATATCACCTTCAGGCTGTCTGTAGGTGTAGCCCTCACACCCATAACCCCAGCATTCGATCATGAATTAATCACAAACTCAGGAATCTGCTCCATGACTGCATGAGGCTTTGGGAGGACAACTGGACACAAACCATGCCATCAGGTAACTGTGAGGAGTCCCAAGACTGTTCAGTTTCACACATGCCCAACCTCAGCTACAGGATGCATTGTACTTCATCTTGGTACCATTGCTGCTTGGAGGCAGGTAGGCAGCAGAAAAAAAAATCTGTGGCTCACGTGCAGAGAGATGTACACTTAATTCCCTAATGGCATTGCCCAGTGTGCCAGGTCACCAGGGCTATGTGCTGCATTCACCCACCCCATGTCTGGGTTGCTTATAGATAGGATAGGAGGACAGAGAGCCCTGTCCATTATTGCTTCTTGGTTCCTAAGAGAAGAGAAGGAGAAGGAGAAGGAGAAGGAGAAGGAGAAGGAGAAGGAGAAGGAGAAGGAGAAGGAGAAGGAGAAGGAGGAGAGGAAAAAGAAGAGGAAGAGGAGGAGAAACCAGTTGCCACACCCTCACTGATAGGCTTCTGTCACACCCTAAGGATTCTGGGATGTGTGATGACATCATAAGACCAAAATTAGGGTTAGATTCAAGTAAAATAAAATCTTGCCCACAAAATGAAGATGGAGTGGACAATGCTTAAATCTTTAATATCTATCACAGCCTAGATGTCTCTCAGTTTACTAAGAAGTGACCCTCTTTCTCTAGCACCCAGTGAGTGCTTGCACTCATAAACAAGACTGGACAATTGGCCTTGGGTAGCCCCAGGCTTCAGGTCTCCCTTCCAGGTATGGCTTTTAAAATCTGAGTGTGCTTTGACTGCAGGCACCCAGCAAGGGGTGACAAGTGTCTCCACTAGCATTACCCTCTCTCATAGACATCCAGATACTGGCTCACTGTACCCTAGATCCCTAAGTCTTTCTCACCTCAGTTGTTCATGTATCCATTCTGCAACTATTGACTGAGATCCCATGTGCCAAGAACTCTACCGGTGCATTCAGTGGAAGGACAACTAAGATGTGACCCTTGACCACAAGGAATTCACAGGCCCAAAGTGAAGGTCCACAGGTGAACCAGCAGTGGCCATCCCATGAGATCAGTGCTACGGGGGAGGGGTGAGGAGAGTGGTGCCCTGCAGGAGTCCACAGGCAGGCATATGTCCAGATGTGGTAGATAAAGAGGGAAGAGAATGTGCTTTCAGAAGACCTGAGAAGGGAGGAAACTGTGAGAGGCCTGGCCAAGGTTTGCAAACCCAACATCAGCCTCTCTAACCTCTCTGACACAGGGTACAAGAACCACCAGTGCTTTCTTTTTTAACTTTTTTATTTAAAAATAAGCAACAAAAACAAGTATAAAATTTCAATGCAAGATTATGGGAGAGCAACAGTGGTAACCCAAGAGTTCCTTTGATGATAGCCACTTAATCATTTTGGTCTAGTAGCTTCCATGAGTCCCATGATTCAAGACCCGCAGGCATGCTCCAGTTCTTTACAGTGTACTAAGCACTATTACTCACCACCAGTATTTTCTATCAAGAGGAAAATTAAAACTAAAAAGCACTTTTACTCTAGCCACGTGGCACGGAGCTAGCCATATAGCCCACCATATAATGTTTGCTTATTTGGAGATGCAAACAGGTTGTGCTGCTTGGGGCATATGTTCAAGACTCTCCCTTCAGTTGGTTAAATTCTATCAATTGCTAGTGTGAGATTTTCTTTATTCCTGGAATTCTTTGAAACTTATCTTGAAAGTCCCCCTTTTTATTTCCTGGGAAGGCTCTGGTCTTCCAATGCCTGTTTGCATGTGTAGCTCTTCCTGCTGTCATTCCAAGCCTCTTCTCTCTCTTGTTTGTAAATCTGGAGAGAAATTCTGGATGGAGAAGACATTCACAAAGTTAGATTCTCACACTGCGGTGTTTCAGCACCAAGGACAGCTTCCAACAGAAGGAAAAGAAAGTTCTGAAGCCCATTTCTTTCTTGGGCTTGGTTGTCACCAAGCAAGTTCCAAGTTAAAGAGCAGAAATTACTGAAGAGAATAGAGATTTGCACATATGTATCCATAGAAAATATAACTATTCGCTTTCAATTTCCCATTTCTTAAAAAGCATAGTTTATATTTCATTTTTCAGCTTTTGAAAGTGTTGGTGTATTAATTCTCTAACAAAATGCCACAGCGCAGATGTCTTAAAGCAACAGAAACTTACTGCCTTAAAGTTATGAATGCTGTACATCTAAAATCAAGGTACCTTCAGGACCATGCTTTATCTGGAATCTCTAAGGGAAAAGCCTTCCTTAACTGTTCTAGCTTGTGGTAGTTGCTAGCAATCTGTGTCTTCTATATGTATATCACCCCAATCTCTGTCTCTAATACCACAGGGCCCTATTTTCTCTGTGTATGTTTCTCTTATTATTAGGGTAGGTACCAGTCATATTGTATTAAGGGCCTACTGTACTCTAACATGATTTAATATTAATCCATTATGTTTGCATTGGGTCTATTTCCAAATAAGGTCACATTCTAAGTTACTAGAAACCAGGACTTCAGGATATCTTTTGGGAGACATGATTCAACCCATAACAACTAATTCTGAGGAAGTATTTCTATGCAGTGTAAGAAACCAATAGTATTAAGCATGAAGTAAGAGGAATGGTGGGAGCCATAAGAAGCTGAAGAGCAGACACTAATCCAAAGGCTACACTCAGCATGCAGCAGGGATGAGGGCAATGTAGCCCCATTTCAGATTCTTTCCCAGGGGAGCTAGAGCTCTGAAAATTTATTCAAAACCTCCTACCTTTAAAAAGCTGGCATGCACCTCAAATCAAATGTAATACATTTCTGAGCTTGATTTAGCTGGCAAATCAACAGTTTGGAAAATCAGGCTTATGGAGATCAAAGGGGGTTTCCTGAACAAGATTTCTTCTTGGAATGGGAAAGAGTTGCCTCCAATTGTAGCAGAATTTAACATGAGTAAAGGAAAAAATAAAATCATCCAGATCCCCCAAGGCCTCATAGGCCATATGGAGTTGCCAAGAAAAAAAAAAATGAAAAGTCATTGGCAGATTTTAAGCAGGGCAGTAAGCCACCTCTGTTGGACCCCAGTGGATTCCTTCTCCAGCTCTCTGACACTTAGAACAAACCCTAGCCTGGAGTCTGGCTGTACACAATTCCACTTCAAGTTGTGGGTAACCTCTTCTATTCCCATTAGATCTGCAGAAGCTCCTGGAAATGGTTCGGGAAGATGCCCGGAGGACAATTATGATGGAAAATGAGCTGCAAAGAAAAGTTCCCAGGTATTTCTCTCAACTCATAAAGGCTATCAGCCTAGTGCTGCTAATGTTAACAGCGGCAGTTACCAATTATTGAGTACTTCTGTGGCAGCACTGTCCTATGTAGTTTATGCATGTGTCTTATCTCCTGGATTGCTACAACAACCCTACAATGTGAATACTATTGCTCTTTATTTTACAAAAACGGGAATGAGGCTCAGAGAGGCTAAAAGAATTGCTCAGGACCACAAAGCTAGCGAATGGTAAGATCATGACTTGAATTCAGATTTTTATTTCAAAACTCACCCTTTTTGCCACTCTGCTGCACTTCCTATCTGGAGTTCTGTGCTTTTTCAACCCTCTTCATCATGAGTGTGTATGAACATGCATAGACCCTGTAGTAGTTACCATCATGAGAAGTGTGATAAAGGAAGAGTTTGGAACTGAGAGGGAAAAGAGTACATGTACCTACTCCGGGATGAAGATGGTGATCAGTTTCTTCTTGCCTCTGAAAAACACTTAAGACTTGGATGAAGCAAGAAACCAAAAGCAGTGAGGTAAAGACAAGGCAGGTGGGGGAAATATGTGCAGGCAGCTGTGTGTGAGTGTGGTCAGAGGCGACCATGGGATCTTCACAGAGCAGAAATACAGCCAAAATGGGGTGAAGAGAGGCTAACACAAGTCTGGGGATCTCATCTTAGGGAAGCTCAGTTCCTGAGCCTGGCATTCTGAGCAACAGGCATCCTGCCAAGTTTCAAGGAAGAAACCAACACAGCCAACTCATTAAGAGGTAATATTGGACATGACCCTCAGGTGTCACCCTTCTGGTAGAAATCCCTGTCTGTGGGACTCATGACCTCTAAAAGCTGCGGGGAGTATGCAAGCTACAGTCAGAGTTCTCTTCGCAAAGTGATGATCCCCCTGAGTAAGCAAATTATTGCTTGCAAATAAATGAGGTAAGAGAAGAGGTTCGTCATTGCCTTCAGCCTACTGAAATGCCGGCTGTGACTTGCTGGGCATTGTTATTACCATCATTACAGATCACTGAGCACCTTCACAGCCATCATGCCCTGCCTCTGCATGCTCATCATGAATTTTTCTGGTGTGGCCTCATCTTCCACTGGGACTCCGGAAGGTGGCACTTGGAGGCACCCAGAGTGTTGGCCCATGAGACCCATACTGTGACCCTGATTTGTCAACATTAGAGACAGACAGTGATAAACATGAGCCTGATAGGCCTCTTCCTTTATAAGTGCTCACAGCAAGGACACTAGTTTTGGAGTCAGGCTGATACAACTTCAAAACCTGGGTCCTTTGGGGAAATTACTTAGACTTCCTTAAAACCTCCTGTCTACTTCACTTTCCCATGACTAGCACAAGGCACTTGACACCAACCACTTCAAAGAGGAGTTTATTTTTGCTTACAGTTTTGGTTTGCAATGAGCTGGCTCCAAGGAAGATACTGCAAGGCAGAAGGATATGGCAGAAGAAAGCTACTCATCCTAGAGGCAGAGAAGGAAGGGAGTTAGTGGGGCCAAGGATGCTCCCTTCCAGGCCATCCCCTGGTGACTCACCTGCAGCCAGATCCCACCTCCTAACTTTCCACATGGAACTCACCAATGGAAAAAAAATCCATGGAGGACTGAGTGCCCCCATGATCCAACAACCTCCAAGGGCAGGAGACTTAGCTCTAATCCATAGCGCCTTCATCTTCTCATCTCTAAAATGAGATTGCATGGCACCAGAGTATTGGCTCTAAAACCAAGTACACTAGGCACAATCTCCATCCCATCATCTAATTGCCCTGTGATAGTAAGCAAATCATTTCACCTCTCTGGGTCTGATTCCACTTCTGAAACAGGAAGCGTATTAGCTATGGAAAAGAGCAAGAGTGTGAATTAGATGGTGCTACTCTTGTGGTGTATTAGGTGCATTATGGAAAGGATGTCTATTTCAATGAGTTACTTAAAGCATTTAGTGAGATAATGCATTTATTTAACACAATAGCTTATGCCTGGAATAGAGTAAGTTCTCAATAAGTGACACTGTTGATGGAGGGTGGGGTTGTCATTGCTTTTATTTCCTACCTAGTGCCCTGTGAAAGCTTCACAGCACCATTAACCACCACTGATGCTGCATCTCAAAGATAGAAAAGAGCAGCGATGAGTGACTTCCGCAAAGGTCTTTAGAGACAAAATCACACTCAAGCCTGGGTCTCAGGAGACCCATCATGAGGCCCCTGCATCAATCTAGTGATAATATAACCATGGTTACAGCACAAGAACCCTTGGAATCTCCCTCCTTCATTAATTCCTCTGGGAAAGAAATCTCCCTAATCTC